AGACATTTTGATGATGTTCAGGGCATCAAGGTTAATATGACGACAGCTCAGATGGCCATTCCAGAAAAAGAGTTCCAAAAGTGCTTTGAAGCATGAACTAGGTGCTGGTGTTGGTGCATAGCTTCCCAAGGGGAGTACTTCAAAAGTGACCATAGTGATATTAAGCAATGAGGTATGTAGCACTTTTTCTAGGATGAGTTCACGAACTTAATTTCAGACCTCGTAAGACATCAGAAAAAAGAGAAGACAATCTCTTTTAAAAAAAGAGGTAGGTGCAGACAGTTCTTCCAAGAAATTTGGCTGTAAAGGGAAGCAGAATAATGGGGGAATGGCAGCCATTTTTTTACAGGATGGATCTGGATAGGAATGTTTATCTAGTGATAGAAATGAGTGAGCAGTAAAATATGGGTTAACAATTCAGGAGACAAGGGAGAAGTCAATTCCTTGAGAAAGTGGAAGAACAAAGGGGAGAGACATCTCCTCCATGGAAGCAGGAGCACAGGTGGACAAATAGGCTGCAGAGTTATCAGACGGGGATTAAGTTAAACCCAGTGGCTTTTGTTTCCTCAGAAAAGTGTGAGATGGCATCATTGGCTCGGAGTGAAATTCTGCAGGTTTGAGGAGAATGCATTATGTGGTCATCTTGGTAATGACACAGGACATCTATTTTAGTGCCAATTTGATATTGGAGATCATTTATTGAAATTATAATCACTCACTTGGGTGTGAGGGTTCGTCTAATAGCATTCAGGCACTTGGGAGCAAGTATGGAGAAGGTGGATGCTAGATCATGTGTAAGATTTGAATTCTGCCAGGTTAGTATGGTAGACTGAGAGTGAGGCATGGAAGCCAAGGAAACTGAAAGAACGATGATAATGAGGGCCTGGATTCTAAACTGGGCAAGTGGTGAGGTAAATGAATTGGAATCCTTGAAGATACCTAAGAAATGTAACAGTAAAAGCAACCTACACACAAAGCCTAAACATGTTCTAAAAGTTTTTTCTGTTGCTGACATCAAAGCTCCTTTGGAGGTGCTTTTTAAATTCATTATCAAATAATGCCCATTGTCTAGCCTCATGTTTATAAACACACAATTTATAGATTTCCCTTGGTGCTAAGCACTGTCTACTTTGATATCTTCCTTTTTGCTACTACTGGTGAAGGAAAGGTTCACTTGCACAGTTTGTAGCTAAATTTGTGGTAACTATTGTGCATTAATATACTGCGGTTCTTTGGGATAAAAGGGGATGATAGCCTTTTACTCCTATTTTCTGAATGTTTGACATTTAATAGAAAAGTTTTTGGAAAAACCACAGTACTGGTCTACACTTCTGCCAAGGCTGTTCTTGTCTCCTTCATCTAGACTTCTTTCTCCTGGGGACTAAATCTCCCAGAATGCAGTGTGTCACTTGCAGGCACTCTGACTCTACCCGATTCCCTGCACTAGTTTTCTCAGAGTTGATGTATTATTGCCCTTTAGTTGAGGAATAAACCCTGGACTCTGAAAGTCCAAGCCATACGTTATTGCTCAAGCTATCTCTCTGAGCCAGGTCAGGTAAAACTAATTGTAGAATGTTTGGGTCACCAATTATGTTTTACCATTCTGGTCCATTAGTCTCAGAATTAATAGAAAATTTTCCTAGAATCTGCACTATATTAAATATCAGTTCCAGATTTTTTTGTGTGAATTTTGTAATTTCTGTTTTTCCCCATGTGTATTTTACTGTGAAGTTGAGTCATCCATTACTACCCACAACCTTTGCCATTATACTGCATTACATTTACTTACTAGCTTTATTGAGAAATAATTCACATACCATAAAATTCCCCCTTTGAAGTGTTCTTTAGTATATTCACAGAGTTGTGCAACCATCGCCACTATCTAATTTTAGAATATTTTTATCATCCCCAAAAGAAACCCTGTACTTATTGGCAATCACTCCCCATTCTGATTCCCCCAGTCCCTGATAGCCATTAATTTACTTTCTGTCTCTGGATTTACCTATTCTGAACATTTCATGTAAATGAAATTATACAATATGTAGCCTTTTGTGTCTGGCTTCTTTCATGTAGCATGTTTTCAAGTTTTGTCCATGTAGCAGGTAGCAGTAATGCATTCCTTTCTGTTGATAAATAATATTTCATTGTATGCATATACTACATTTTGTTTATTCATTCTTTAGCTGATGGATGTCTGGCTTGTTTCCAGTTTTTGTCTGTTGCGAATAATGCTGCTATGAACATTTGTGGGGAAGTTTCACGGTGGACATACGTTTTCTTTTCTCTTTGCATTACATTTTCCATTTACATGTTAGCTTTAAATTCCCTTGAGGCTAACTAGCCTAATAATTTCAGGGAAGTTATTTAGGAATTATTTAAAGTGTTCCACAAGACCAGAGTGAGCCACTCCCATTGCTTTACCTTTCATCATTCTTGTACCAAACTGAGTGTGATAGCCCTGCAGCCTGCTAATACAGACACCTCTACAGCCTACTCTTACAAAGCAGCTCCTCGGTGATTGGTAAATGTGAACAGTATTACTTTAAAGGATAATTCGAAGTAATGCTTTCATAATAAAGTAATCCTTTCATACTAAAAAACATGGAGGTTTCTGTATAAAAAATTGCATCTTAACCGCCTCCTTTCTCATTCTATCATGCTCACCCACTCTGAGGCACAGGCTATATATTTTTTTGAGTTGTACATAGACATTCTCACCTAAATTTTCACCTCAAACTAAGGGGCTTTACTACTTATTTGTACCTTCTAAGATTTGTATATTTTATGTGAGACAAAATGATGATGTGTAAGGTGGTTAGTCTTATGTGAAATTATTTACTAGTTTAATAATAACAGCTGCTGTTATTATTTGAGCAGCTGTACAAAATGTGGGGATCGTTGGATAAGGTGCATGGCATGCAATATCCACATGTTATAGGTTCAGTAATGAAATCTTCAGGTGGTAAGATAATTCACTTACATAGGAAGGAGTAGAAACAGCATTCAAATCCAAGTATATCTGACTTCAAAGCCCTTCTTCCATTATTACTCCAAAGCCTTCTAATAATTACATCTTTATTCCTTTGACTTGAGCCAAATAGGAAGTTCGGCCCTTATAGAAAAATTTGATTTTTTAGTCCTTTATACCTTTACTGTGCACAGTTGGAGCAGCCCCTTCTCTAAGGAATAGGCCTTAATAGTGAATGGGTTATGAGTTCCTTTACACCTGAAAATGGACACAAAGAGGACCATGAAAGGGGAAAATGCATTTATTTCACTTCTATATTCTCAACATCCAGAACTTAGTAAGTCCTAAATAAATGTTGATTGGTGACTAAACAATGAGAGGATTTCAGAAAACAATTTTTTTCTTTTCCATTTACAGTGTTGCCTTGCTGACTCCACCTCTCCTGGAGTGCTTTGGGGGTCCTTCCTTTGCCTTCCCTTACCTGCCATAGCTATACTTTCTGTCTGGGTTATCTCATCAAGTCCCGTCAAGTCTTCCTACTTGATGATGACTCACATCTTTATATCTCCATCCTTGATAACTACTGACTTCAAGACTTTCATATCAACGCAATCACTTAACTTGACAAATGTAGTTTAATACCTAATAATCATCTCAAACTAAGAACAGCTAAAACAGACCCCCTGGTTTTTCTCGAGGCCATTTCTTGCCCCAGTCTTCCTCATCTCAGTACCTGGCACCACTATCTTACCAGTTTATACATCCTTTTCCACACACCCTACACGTACTCCAATCAGCAAATCCTGTCCATTTTATTTCCACCCCCTTCTCTCCACATCCACAGTTACTCTCTCAATTATAGCCATGGCGCCTCTCACTGTAGTCACTTAACTGACATCCTTGCTTCCACACTTGCTTTTCTATAGTCCATGGTCCACAAAGCAACCACAGTGACATTTTAAAATATTAATTATTGTCTCATATCTCTACATTTCAGTTCTATTCTTTTTTTTTTAATTAAAGTTTATTGGGGTGACAATGGTTAGTAAAGTTACATAGGTTTCAGGTGTACAATTCTGTAATATATCATTTCTACATGATGTGTGTTCACCACCCGGAGTCAGTTCTTCTTCCATCACTATATATTTGATCCCTGTTACCCTCATCTGCCACCCCTCACCCCCCTTACCCTCTGATAACCACTAAACTATTATCTGTGTCTATGAGTTTTTGTTTCTTCATTTGTTTGTCTTGTTCCTTTGTTTTCAGTTTTACATACCACATATCAGTGAAATCATATGGTTCTCTACTTTTTCTGTGTGATTTATTTTGCTTACCATGTTCATCTCACTTCCCACTTTTATTACTTCTAATCATACTTAAAATCCAAACTCCATCTCATGACATGCAAAGCTTTACATGATCTGGCCCTTGCCTACCTCTGCCACCACGGTCCTCCCCACTTGCTACACTGTAGCCAGGCTGGACATCTTGCTGTTCCTTCCATATGCCAACTTCATGTCTACCTCAGGGCCTTTGCTCTTGCTGTTTACCCTGCCAAGATTATCTTGTCACCAGGGTCTGTGAATGGCAGGTTTCTTGGTAGAGTTTAGGTCTCTATTCAAATGCCATCTGTTTAGAAAGGCCTCCCCTAACCACATTTTATCACATTGTGTTAATTTATTTTCTTTACACCATTTATCACTATCTGAAAACACCTTGTATATTTATTTATTTACTTAAGTGTCTTTCTCCATCCCTAAACTCCACCCTTATATAAACATAAAGAAAGGTTTATAAAACTAATGACCTTCTTGTCATGTTTATCATTGGATTCACTGCCTGGCTCATAAGAGGTTACCAATAAATATATGAGGGAGAATATATGAGAATATAATAAATAAATGAATGCACATTGCCTGAGATCAAGCCTAAATGCTGTGACTATGTCTATATTAATTAACTTACCTGCTGTATCACTATTAAAGCTTACCTTTCATAACCTTATATTGTTTGATGTCTTCCTAAACAGAACATTTTTATTTCTTGGAAGATTCTAAAGATGCTCTCCTTTGTGGTTTCAGCTCAGACTCAGGGTATGTAACACTTGTTTTTAGTCTAAAGGCTGCAAAAAAAAAAAAATCAGTTTGTTGATAAGATCCTTTGGTTCTGTATTGTTTTCATGTATTGCATGGCATTGTTTGACTCATTCCGTCCCACAGTGAGTCCAGACTTCATAACATTCATAGTTACCGTATACCTTTGAAGTCAAGACATGGAGGTAGTACTTGAATTAAAACAAGATGCATGTCCCATAAATCTTAAGGAAGAAGAAAAAAAATGACTTCAGAAAACCCCACCAAAAGTTTCTTGGGTAGTTTCCAGCCTTTCTTCCTTGAAAGAAGAAAGACAAAAATCAGTTTTTCTTTCCATCCCAAATTGTACTCATTCTCCAATCAAGTATGACTGTAATCATAGTTGACTGAATGCAGTGGCAGCTTGGCCACTCTAAACAAAAGGACCCCACAGACTTGGTAAAGATGCTGTAAGAATCTCATATTAATGGAAATGCCCATCTTGCTGTTTCTCCTGTACACTGAATCATTCTTCTGCAGAGCCCTCATTCCTGCCCCCTGCCACTCACCCTGCCACCTCCCCACCCACATATCTCTTTACCAGGCTCTGTGTGCACAGGGAACATAAAAGTCAACAAGATGAGGTTGCTGCTCCCAGTGACACCTCAAGTCACTGCATTTGGCATCATAGATACCACTCCACCAATTTTAGAAAGAAAAAAGGCTTAAAGCTACAAATCTTTATGAACTTACACAATGGCTGTACTTTGACACACTTGATTCTAATTTACTCCAAGAACAATTGGGGGAAACACGTTTTTGTTAGGGGCCTATATGTCGATTTTTGTGGATACAAGAACTATTATATGATACCTGGTGAACATTTCCAAGGTTTGATAGTGATAATGATGATGATGATGATACTAATAGCAGCTACCATTTATTAAATGCTTTCTGTGTGCACAAATGAGGTGAGGTAATTTGCATACATTACCTTCTTTAAACTCAATAATAATTTTAACCTTTTCAGATAGGTGCTATTGGGTTGTCGGAAAAGTCGACGCATTTTTGCAACAAAAACCAGAAAAAATACGTCATGACTCTTCCGACAAACCAATATTTATCTTGTTTTCACAGAAGAAGGGCATCAGGCCTTAGAGAATTTTAAGTAATTTGACAAAGTCACCAAGTAGAAAATAGTAGGGGTGGGATTCAAACCCAGTTATTTCCAACTCCAAATAATGTGTTCTTAATCAGTATTCAAATTTTAGCCCCCTAGAAAAGGAACCTTTAGTTTCCCAATTTTTTGCAGTACTATTTAGCTTGTATCCTGAAGGCACCCTGACTTGTGATCTTCTTTTTCACATGTAGCCAGTGCCCGGAAGGGTACAAATGCAAGAAAGCAGGCAGAAACCCCGACTATGGCTACACAAGCTTTGACACTTTCGGCTGGGCCTTCTTAGCCTTGTTTCGGCTAATGACCCAGGATTACTGGGAAAACCTTTACCAACAGGTGAGTGCCAAGAGAAACATTCACTGCATAATCTGATGTGTAGCCATTGCCAGCTTTATAGATGAGATTTTATTCAATTTAGAATGGAGAAAATTCTATTATTACTAAAATTAGGTATTTTCTACATTTAGCACTATTAGGATAGAGAGTTCTTGAATCATAAATTATGTTTTCTTGACCTTATTTGATCTCTAAATCCCTTTCCCCCCTCTGTGAATATTGGTCCTGAGTAATAGAAGAAATATACTCTCTTGACACAAACTATGCTTTCCATACGTCTTTCTGCTTGGAGTGCCCTAAACATCAGGCTCTCTTATGCTCATCATGCTTTAGTTTTTGAACTCCTGTGTGTACAGTTGTTACGGACTGAATTGTATCCCCCCCCACCCCATCCTAATTCCTATGTTGAAGTCCTAACTCCCAATACCTTAGAATCACTATATTTGGAGGTAGAGCCTTTACCCTCTTAACTGAGTTAAAATGAGTCTGTTAGGATGGATCCTAATCCAATCTGACTGGTGTTGTTATTGAGAAAGGGAGACTAGGTCGTTAGATAGATACCAGAGATGCATATAGGAAAAAATGCCATGTGAGGACTCAGGAAGAAGTTAGCCATGTGCAAGCCAAGGAGAGAGGCCTCAGGAGAAACCATACATGTCTACACTTTAATATTGGACTTCTAGCCCCTAGAACTGTGAGAAATAATTAGTGTTTAAGTTACCCGGTCTGTGGCATGTTGTTATGGCAGCCCTAGCAAACTAATAAAGAATTAAAGACTCAATTCACTTCTCTAAATTTTCTGCTCCCAATTCAGTTGCTTCTTGTTCTAGACTTTCATGTCCTTTGAATATTCTCAGGTTATAGCATCTGTCACTTGGACTAACTGTTAATTCACATGGCCACCTCTTCTACCTTGAATGTGATCCTCTTGGGCCTGTGGGCCCTATCTTTCCACTTATGTATTCTTAGTGCCCAACCCTAAGAGGGAGACCAAAAATGATTATTCTGTATTATAAATAATAACAAATCACTTTTCTCAGATTACCCTGGATTCTTTTTTTGACTTGTTTTATGTTTATTTAATTTCTGAGAATATTATAAATAAATATAGAAATTATACTCACAGGAAAAAATACAAATGATTTTTTAAGTAGGCAACAAGATACTTACCTTTACTGCAAATTAAAATGAGAGTTATATGTAAATTTTTTTACCTGTCAGAATGACAAAGATCAAAAAGTTGATCAGCGGGCCGGCCGAGTGGCTCAGTTGGCTAAGAGCTCGCTCAAGAGTTTGAGCTCTGAGCAATGGTGGTTCGATGCTCAGGCCGAGCTGAGCTGCTGATGAGCTGCCAAAAGGTGGCAGGATGGCTCAGCTGGAAAAAAAAAAAAAGTAGATCAGAAGAGAGATACTAACTGACAGATATGTGGAGACAAAAGTTCTCACACATTACTGGGAACTACTAGAGAGGGTAACGTGGGAATTTCTATGAAAATTAAAATGAATATGCCTGTTGACCTCACAATTATACTGTGTGCTAAGAATTCATCTAAGAGAAGACACCAGTAACAGTAGTAACTGATAGAAAAGGCAATTGAGTAAGTAGGCATCAGAGATAGGATGACATATATCCCATCTAATATCTGTACCACTTTGATTTTTTATCCTTTATTATATTTTTAAGTATTTAGTAAATGTTAATTAAAACCATATATAAGATGAATACATAAGGTCATACAATAAAATTATCTCTCTTGTGTGAATATAATACATCATCATTACCACTTGTTAAAGGTAGAATTTTATCAGTATAAGGGACTATAGAAATTATCTGGTCCTGTATTTTGCAGTTGAGCAAAGCAGTTAGTTTTACAGTAATTTTCAGACTAGGGAAAATTTTTCAGGATTATTATGCTTCATAATAATCAAGAATCATACCTAATTTTAGTACAAGTTTAATAGATTGCTGTAGCTTTTTTACTGAAAAAGTATGTATACTAATACTGATTGTTTCCAGTGGAGATATAATTTTAATCCCTTTATATTTTAATAACAAGAGATTTTGCAGAAGTGCCCAATTTACCTATGCCTAATATGCCATTCAAGTTGAAACAATTTATAAAACAACGGAAAAAACCACTGTGTTATTAAATTAATGATTTCCATTTTTCCCTAGACACTGCGTGTTGCTGGGAAAACCTACATGATCTTCTTTGTTGTGGTGATTTTCCTGGGCTCCTTCTATCTAATAAACTTGATCCTGGCTGTGGTTGCCATGGCCTATGAAGAACAGAACCAGGCAAACATTGAAGAAGCTAGGCAGAAAGAGTTCGAGTTTCAACAGATGATAGATCGACTTAAAAGAGAGCAAGAAGAAGCTGAGGTATTGTTATTTGGTTTAAAATTCTTCTTACACGTAGAAATGCAAAGAGGAACACCAGAGGCCCTGTGGTCTATGCTAGGCCTTTCCCAGGGTGATTTTCTTTAATGCATTCCTTCATATAAACTGAATCTTCATTCTCATATGGTGGAAGAAACCAATTCTGGATTGGGTAATAACTGACATGTGACCCATTCCACCTTTCTCCATAATCAGCTCACTCTAGCACAGAGAATGTTCGAAGATGTTCCTTCTAAACCTGTTACCCACCATTCCTCATGGTGTATGGTATTATGGAAAGTCCCCAAACTGATGTATTCAAGTTCTGATGTATTTCCCCCAGAACAATTGTACCACAAAGGTTAAGGGAAAATTATTTTAATGGTGAAGTTAACAGATGCTTTGTGGGGTAGAAAGCAAAATCTGCATCAATTTTTATAAATATTTCAAGGATTTTTAAGATAAAATGTGAGATATTAAAAAAAATCATATGTAAGGTTGTGGCCACTTTAGGCTAAGTCGCAAATTCTTGA